CGTAATCAGGATTGCGCATCGATATTGCTGGAATAATCGATATTGCTTTGAATGAGATATTTCATCGTTTTTAGGGGATAAATATAGAGATAATGCAAAGGGAATTTTCTTTCGAACTAATTTGCACTATGATATATTATATACATATATATTATTGTATGTATATATAAAATGTCAAAGACATCTATATTAATAGAAAGAATCAATTGATATATACAATATATCATTCGTATTTACAATTTTGTAACAATAAATATACTATTAATATTGTTAGCACATTAATATTATATTATATATTATTAATGTTAAATAAATTCTATAAAGAATAAATTTTATTTAGATTTCTGGTCATAATCGAAATGTTCTTCTGTATTTAAACTTTGTTAATATAAAAATGTACTTTCTAAATTGCATTTTGCAAAATAGAATTTATTTCTAATGTAACCAGCCATAGTATTTATAAGACAAGAAGAAGAGATAGAAAACGATATTGTGGAAATTGTCCACTGTTTCGTTTAAATTACTTTTTAAGTGAGGTACAAACTGTAATGGGAAAGAAAGTAAAGATACGATGACTCATGTGAACATTATAACTTTGGTTCACTTTCTCATATATATATCCTATTACAATAGTATTTTAAAGTCCAACAGCCTCTAGAGAACGAAAGAAAAGTCCTATAGTCGACTTTATGTGCAGGTGAATTCTTCAAACTTTAATGGTATAAGAGACTATAATGCATGGAACAAAGAAATTGCTTATTCCCGACGATGAAGTAATATTGCGTTTTATCTTAACTTTATTGCGATAGTATAAATAACATTAATCATATCTACACTGTGAATAAATTATAATTATTTAAATATATATTATTTAAATTTAATATTTACAAATTCTGTTAAAAGCAATTCTGTTGGATAAAGTTTTTATCCAACAGAAAAATTTCACAACATTGGTACTAATAATACAAAAAGATCCTATATATATTTGATAAAGCAGTAAAAAGATTTGATTGGCCTGGTGCCAAGGTTTTAATTGCGTATGCCGTGCACCGAACGTGCTATTCCATATCGGGTGTGATATCAGGCACACATTCCTGAAAAGAATATTTAATTTGAAAAAATGCGAAGCTATAATTCGTAGTAAATGTGACGCTTTCCTCTGGAACTCGTCTTTATAGAACGAGAGACTTCTTTAATGGATTTCACTGAGTGGAAACGCAATGGAATTCCATTGCGATAATAAAATGGAAAGATTTAGTATAAGACAAGTCTGGAATTTATAATCTGTATTTTTTTGCACTGAAAGAAAAGATTGATTGCTGCAGCAATTTAGATGGTAAAATAAGAATAGCATTTTTAATTGGTCGCAGCAGTTAATTTTTGGTTACATTAACCTATCCGCAATGCCAGTATACGATTTCGATAGGCTAACCGGCTGACGCAACCAAAAATTGGCTGCTGCAGCCAATTAAAAATACTGTACCATATTTAGTCAATCTTTTATTTCAGTGCACATCGCGAATATTTTATGTTATTACTGTACAATCCGTTATATATATTTGAGGTGGAGAAATTTAGACTACATCAAGAATACATATTAGAACAACGTTTGAAGATGCGAGTTCTTTCGAGTTTATGATTTATGATTTTGAAGGCTCATTTAAATCCATTTATGTGGATGTTTACTCGATCATAAGTTGGAAACATGAGCTTTCATGTCTCTCCGAGATAGCTGCCTCTAAATGCAATTACTTTCAGTAGCAAAAGCAAACTTAGTTTATCCGATAATCGTGTAAAGACTGTTGTGTACAGGAATATTATTTATAATTACATTTCTTGTGCCAAAACACTGCATAGACGTTTTTAATATAGAATTAAAATCTCGTATATTTAATACTATAAAAGTAGTAAAAATCAACGATAATCAGACACTCGGATGTCAACAATGATATTTACTAGTACGAACGATTTCAAAATTTTATCATCTAGAGCATATACATAATTTATTGTAGAAATTTGTATAGAAATTTTGTATGTGTGGTTTGTATTCATAAATAATAATTATTATTACACGGAGAGAATTTTTTTTTAGAATTTCCCCTAAAAATATGATCGTGTAATAACATTGTATTTCAAAGAATTTTAATGTAAATCTCTCTCATTTATTAATAAAACTACAATAAGATCAAATAAGTTTGATCAATTTTACTGAAGTGCATAATAAAAATCTTTAAAATATTGTACCACAAGTATCATATTTTCAGGGTAAATTTTAAAAGAAAATTCTCTCCGTGTATAATTATATATTCTGTTGTTAATTGAGATCAGATACAATTAGTTACAAAAATTTCCTTATTAGGCTTTTGTAAACGTATTAGAGTATTTTGTAAATTAATTTTGCATATAACATAAATTGTTCTTAGCACAAAATATTTGTCAATACTTAATATTTGAACAAGGTTTACCGAGCACATGTAGTCGCTATGTACATATCGAAAATATGTGAGTATTTATTGCAAAATTTAACGATCGTATATAATCGTTACACAAAATGAACCAGAAGCCCTATGGAAACATTTCGACGAAAATTATGCTTTACTGGTTAATGTTGTACGAGTATATGAGAGTACCAAAGAGGAACTTACAATAAACTTGTCAATATCTGAAAGTTACTTCGAACATCTACATACAATGCTAAGTAGCAAAATGCATTTATCTCGAAATTTATACTTAAAAATTTATATTTAATATTATAAAACTAAACGTTCTGCAATCAATTGAATGATTATCGAGGATACTTTTCTTACATTTAGTAGAGTTTTATAAATAAGCTTGATTCAATTCTCTCTCGTGATTTATTTTCGTAATTTATAGAATTTTACTCTCTATTTCCTGTCATTATTAATATAAAGCATTAACTTATTCACGATCTGAAACCTATAATTTTATATTTCAGTAGTTATTCCGATAAAATTCCAATAAAATTGAGTTGTCGCGACGACTCATCCAAGGTCGCTTTGCGGGTTCAGAAGAAGAAATAAAAGGGAAGTCGTAAGATGTGTAAAAAGATGAAAAAAGAAAGAAAAAAATGGAAAGGAATAGCGCGATGTCGAATTGATTGCGAAAGGGCTTCGTTCTGTCGAAGCTTCTTGAGAGTTTCGTTCAGACATTAAAATAAATATTTTTCTTATACATACATATATCATATAATATTCTATTTACTTTTAGGATGCAGATTTAATAAATGATTTGATTGAGATATCACAACTCTGCGAATGAACGTCGAATCATTTACAAAATTTTTTAATGCAAAATTATTTGATTTTATTTCATATTTTAGTAATAAATAATTTAGATCTATAATTAACACGTTGCGTGTTCCTTTGAATTTTTTATACACTTAATTGGCAGTCTTTGTATGTATATCCGTATATATATATATTTTATATTTATGTATATTTGAATATTTTATTTTATATTTATATATTTTTGAAGCAGAGAGTAATGCCAAGCGTTGTCTTACTTGCATTTAAGTATTGTATTATCATAAAGTTATATGCTACGCTAAGGCATTGCTTTTGACGTGATTGTAAATACTACTTTATGTACAATTATGAAAGAGAATAATGCTTTTGTGTGGCTACTTCATAATATGCTGTAATATTGTGGAAATTAACCCTGTAGAACTAGGAGGTATATAAGCTCTGCAAACTGTACAAGTTTATGTGTCTGCTCGGATAGTTAGGCTATGGAATATAGTGTTCGCAGTATGTGTGTGTAGTTATATATTATACATCTTATTTTGGCCAACCGACAGTAAATATACCGTGTTTAGTATGCGGTTCTGAACCGTGAAGTTATTCAGAAATATTTATGCACGATACGGTGAGACACTGCTTATAACATTTGTTACGTAACTGGAGCGGAAATTAGCCGTTCGTCTCTACGCGACAAATTAATTTCTGAGAGTTTAATGGTGCTAAAGGATTTATTATTACAATTATTCCAGCAAAATCGTAAAATTATGAAGTTTTTATACAAATAGCGAAACTGAGTTCCGTCATTTTATCGAGGGTATTTTTTTAAATAAAGCGATAAAGTGTTCTCTGAAGAAGGTTCATAATAGAGTAACTTCATAATAGAGGTTCGTACTTAATAATAATTTCCGTCGGAAATGAGCAACTATTAGGCCCTTTTATTGTCATAAAACAAAACCTGAGAGCAACGTAGGAGCCTATCATGCTCGGAAGAACGGTGAAAGCAGAAATGAAATTTCATTAGCAATGTAAATACAGTGACAGAATAGAATTCGGGATGAATTCGATTTCCCCCACGTTCGCGTTTTCTTGTCGAGTACCATCCGCCTCACTGCAGTTGCAGCTTATCCTGTTATATCTTATTTGGAAAGTTTCTAACATTTGCTATTAGTTATTTTCTAGGAAAAAAAGCAAATATGATAAGTTTTATATTTTTTATATCATTTTTCCTCTCGAGCAGGTTCCTCTTTCATTCTCGATTATCTTTTTTTCAGTTATAAATCTTGAAGGTGTGTGCACCTGATTTTTCGAAAAAACATTGCGTATCATTTTCTGTTTTTTCCCACAATCATCAAACATCATAAAGGAAATAATAAGATTGTTTACGAGCTACTAATGACATGATTAACGAATATCTTTTATTTACGATCTATTTTCTCAAACTATAGACGCCACTGTGATCATGACTGTCAATTATCGTTAAAATGTGAGCATCGACCGCTTCCGCTCTGTCAAGTATTACCGGAAATAAGAGCAACACGTGAGCCCCGCACGGTCATGGTGTATTGATTTCACGACAGAGCCGAGTTCTATCCGACCTCTTGCACTAACCAGCAGGCATAGCTCTATATTAAAGTCTCTCTGGATTTTGATTCATGATAATCGTGATAGATAAAATGAACGGCACTTGTCGCGCGATAATTCCTTGCTGCAGCCTTTTCGGGTAGACTAACTTTATCAGTGTTTTCTTGTGAAAAGAATTAATTTATTTCGTCAAAAATGTGTACAGAATTTTGAGGGCACTTATTATGTACAACCCTATGTCACATCGTTATCGGCTTTTACATTAAAAAAACGTCCTTCTTTCCTGGATTTTAAGAATCGAAAATTAAAAAATTATACATAATGAAGGAGAGAGTATGAATCATTGATAGACGCAAAATTTGGACTAGTTTAGGCTGTGTTAGCTGTAATCCAATCCAAGTAATTGACGACACTCGTGTATACAGTGGGGTAGAACGTGTTGGCGCAACCATTTGCCCAGGATACCAATCCAATGAGTTTTCCTCCAACAGTCAATGGGCCACCAGAGTCACCCTGGAAATAGCAAGATCTCTTTTTAAATTTAATTCAAATTTGAATTAAATTTAAACAAAATTAGTTCTGACTTAAATTTAATGTTGTTTTGTGTATTTTTTTATCACAATTTCAAATATTTTCTTCTTTTTAAAAAATCACGATTAAGTTATTACTGAGAATATTATAAATAGAGAAACCGATAATTAGAGCTGAAATCTTAAGAAAAACTTACGTGACACGATCCTTTTTCGATTGATGAATCATATGCGCAAACTTGCGTGGGATAAATGTTGTAGCTCATGTTATTGTACATGTATTCACAGTAGATGTGATCAGCGATTAAGATGTTAGCTCGTTGTAGTCTAACAGTGGTTGGTCCTCCTTGCTGCAATTTCGTAATAATTTATACAATTGCTATCTTTGAAGTAATATTAATTTTTTCTCATTCCTTGTATACTGGATATTGTAATTCTGTATTCTAAATCTCAAGATAATATAAAAATAAATTATAAACTATCACTATATCTTTGTATATCAACATGAAAATTAAAGATATACAGTTAAATATATAGGTATTTAAAATAGCTAGAAAGACTCACCCAGAGTCTGCCCCATCCCGACACAATGGCTACATCATTGGCTTTAACATTAAAACCTTTTGGTGGCAAAGGAACATGCCCGATGGTCTTAGATGTTATGAAAGGAGTTTCGACCTAAAAAAAAAAAAAACAGTTTTTACTTGAGATTTATAATTTTTAATTCGAAAAAATATTTATAAGGAGTCTAATTTTTTATGTGAAAAAGAAATTTATGCCTACCTGCAATAAAGCTATATCGTTAATCCAAGAATTAAGAGAATCATATTCTTCGTGTATAATGATTTTTATGACGTTATGCTCTGATTTTGGATTAATTAAATTGATAGTGCCAGCGATAACTTTTACATTATTTGACCCTATTCTATAAAACAATTTAATTGTTCACATTTTTATCGAAATATACATATATATAGTAAACGTGTAGGTAAATTTCTCGTACATTTCTTACATCAACAAAGTAATAATATTTATATTTAAAAAATGTATACTAACAATTTATATTAGCGCGATTTGCAATTATTTTATTTAAAAAATAATATTATTAAAATTACGCTTCAGCACAGTGAGCTGCCGTGATGACATAATTATCGTTCAGGATTGAGCCGCCACAAAAGTGAAAGGAAAACTCTGTGTATTGAAGAGAAACCTGTGGAAATCATAGCATTTTTAATTTGTAGTAACATTTCCATGTTTGCTTTTAATCTATAAGAAAGCTAGTATGTGGCTGAAACAGTCACATTTTGAAATAATAAATAACACATTATAACAAACCTTACTCAAGGAAAGTAACAGATTTTAAAAATAAATTTTTGTTTTTTAAAGATTAATTACACTCACACACACAAATATTTAGATATTTTTTTTATTATATATAGTATATATACAATACGTGACAAGTTCTCGAATTGAGGCCATTCAATGATTCAAAAAAAGATCGAAGATATATTTATTAAAACATTTATTAATACCATCATTCAATATATTTATCGCTTTCTAACATTTACATCGTACAATGCTTCTCTGAATTGTATTCAGTTCTCTCATTAAAATTTAATGGATTCTTGATACATTGAAATATTCTCATATCTTGACTCTTTTATTGCAATTTCTAATTTAGGAAATAAGAAACTTAGCGAGGTGCTAAATCAGGCATTAAGCTTGAGTTTAAGGAAAGTGGCTTCTGATTTATTTTTTGATCATTTCATCTTTTGATGAAATGAAGGATCTTCGTGTTAACTAATACTCGCCTGATTTAACTGACTTTTTGACTGATTTAACTGATTAAGTTGACTTTTTTCATAAATTAAAAATTGTAATGAAATTTAAGATTGTGTCATCTAATAGACTAATGGCTCCTGCCATACACTGAACGTGAAAACTTAAGGCAAATTGGAAGAAGTTTTTTCTTGAACATACGACGTTGTATAAACGATGAAAATGTTGTTTGAAAGCAGGCGAAGACTATATTGAATACTGATATTAATAAATTTGATCTTTCTTGTGAGTTTTTTGTGGCATCAATCCGAGAATTAATTATTACAATATGTATATATACATATTTTATATATATTAATATCTATTTCCATAATAAATGTATGTTTCAGTAATATGTGTACCTGATACGGAATCTCGCCTACTTTAGCATTTTCTCCATTTACGATTTTGGGATCAAAAAGTGGCAGGAGCCTGGCTGCAATATAATGCATGATAAATCATTACTACTATTTGTGAAATGAAACTAAAAGAATTAAAAAACACAAGTTTTATAAAGATTTTAATTATAATAAGTAACAGTTTGTATGCATTTTAATAGCGAATTTCAGATCCTTCGAGTTAGCAAGCTTCCAGCAGAGTTTCATCTAAGATCATAATACACTGTTTTGCGCCTGTCATGTTTCTATTTATATTTAATGACCGAATTGATAGACGGATCACAGAAAATCATTTATTTGAATATAATATGACATTTTTTTCTTCTACGTATTCCTAAGAGAGCTACTTGTATTCACTTAAATGAATGATTATCGATTAACCTGAGAAAATCATTACTCACCTTGAGAGAATGCCAAAAGGCTGAGGAGACACAAAATTCTTAACGCCATTGTACGAGCACTGTCTGAATGATTTGAAATCGCATGAAAGTGAATTTATACGTAGTACTGATTTTTAATTGTATTACCCCTCTTCCGTATAAATAGTCCAACGACCGACATGATTTCTTAAGAAATCTAGATTAGATAAATTAAATATAAGTATATCGGAGATTTATTGATTTTGCTTCGATCAATTATCTCGATAAGCACATAATGTATCACACTGTAATTTCATTCATAATGTTTCTTTAAATGTTTAACGTATTGAATGTTTTATGTATGTATATTAGTCGATATCATTTCATCTTTATTGATTCTCTTTATTAAAAATATTAATATCAAGGATTTAAATAACTTATTCAGTCGCATTTGTAATTTTTTATATTTTTAAAGAATTTTTTGGTTTACAATTTTTCATTTAAAGTACCTCTGTCAAAATTAGATAAAAGCTTTAGTATATCTGATTAATACTAAAGATAATTTGTAATATAATATTAACTCTAGCTATACACACTGGGGTCCCAGAAACCGCAGTGCAATTTGCTAAATTGAGGTTTTTTCATGCTTCTGAACTTTTCTTTTTCTTTGAACCTATATATATATTCTGAAGTTCCTCAATTTTATCGACTTTTACGTATTACGGAGACTTATTCCTTAATTAATTCTCCATCGATCGAAAAAAAAAAAATTAATTGAAATATGTCCATTTTTACGGAAGTTACAGTAACAAATATAGATGGGGTCCCAGAGACCCGAGTGTGTATATCAAGGGTAGAAAAAGAGTATGTATGTAGCTAGAGTTAAAAAGGCATTATAATTATAATGTCTTTTTAATTATACTACCTTTCTTATCGCTCGATCAAAGCGATAATCACTCTGCACACTCCTATCTTGCTATCTGGATAAGGATTTGGATTTTTCTGTATCTCTTAATCTCGCTTGATAAATTTTTTACTCTTTCAGCACAATCGTTCTTTTTGTGCACAGTTTGATTAATATGACAATAGCATTATTTTTTATTTTGCACTTATTATAGTTTATTGAGTCAGTTCTTTGTGCTCAGCAGACAACATTATTTTTTATTTTTGCAGAAGTAATCTACCAATTAGAGTTATTGTTAACTTATATACAAACAACTTACATATACTTCTATATTGAATTGAGATAATTATAATCTTATGATATTTTTAACTTTTTCTATTTTTAATCAGGAATAATATTTTTTTTTAGTAAAATGCATTACACGCAATGTTATATAAATTATACACAAAGGAAACTTTACAAGAGTTTGACAATAACTTTTACATTAGCATAACTGCATTAAGAAAAATAATTATCTTGGAAGTTGATGTTGCGAGATAATAATTTTGTCGAAAACGATAAGTTATGCCGTATTAAGAACTTTAATAGCCTCCTATTAAAAGTTTTACTCGCAGAACTTATAATTTCAATAGAAAATCTCATGAGAGATGAAGTTTCGGTTATCCTTGTAACTCGTGAATTTTTTTTTAAACAATCCTGACGGACCGTCGAACGGATAAGTAGGACATAATCGATCGCTGGTCCAGCTAGGATGGATGCGGGCTGTCAGAGTTTCAGGATTCATCTGCGACCAACGACCTCTTGCTCTGACCATGTAATCGATCCAATACATGATCAAAGCATCACCGGTCGAGATCACTGATAACTTTGCGTGCATGAATTCTCAATCGTGTTCGCCTTTACTAAACTTCCTGATAGCACATGGGATACATCAAATAAATTTACAACTTATATACGGAATTAGTTAACTTTGAAACGAATTAATCATAGTAATGAACCATTCGTGGAATTTGTAATCGCAGATTGTTCGTTTCATCGCTGAAAGAAGATATCGTAGAAACAAGAAATAAATTTAAAATTTTGACGTTTAAATTTTATAGCTGTTTATATTTTAATTCTCACGTAATATTTTTATTATTGGGTTATGAATGTTTATTTTTCTTTTGTAAGAACTGCACGTGGCACCGATGACAATATCAGTTTTTAGTAATGTATTTATCAAAATATTTATGATGCGCAGATATGAGTTGAACCATGATAATAGTAATTTTAACGCCCGACAAAAATATTTGGTGTGATAAATGTTCCAAATAATTCTCTTTGGAATATATTGAAAATATATCGTTTAAATCAAATCCATAAGTTTCTTAGTTATTTTAGATAACAAGTACTTTAGATAGCAAGTACTATTTAATTAGATCATCTTATCAATGCATTTGCTATTTAGTATTTTATGAAAATTGTGTACTAACAGAAGTGTCATGATAAACGTTCTTGTTTTAATGGTCAGCGTATAAAAGGGGATAAATGGGACAGAAAAATTTATATCATTGCGTTGCAGAGTATTTTTAAGCTTTACATACAAATCTCCATTGCGCAAATTCACTCGTTGAACGTACATTATGAGCGCATATTGTTTGCATAGGAAAATCTATTTTTTACGTCAGTCAAATTTGTTGTCGCATGTTTTATTCAGCAGTCCCTTTTGGAATATCGGTTGTTGCAAAATTGCAAATAGAATAAAAGGTTCAAAAGGTTATCCGGGAACAACGGGTGCTTCTCGCGCGAACGCTCGTGAGAATTCGAGAACACGTATTTCCGTCCACACGTAAAATTGGCAAGATTTTCAAACAAAGCGAGCGCTTATAAAGAGAAGAAGGATTTATGAGAAGAGGTATAAAAGTGTATGCATTTTCCTGGCTATTATTTACGCGGAGAGAAAAGCGTGTATAATTCGTATTATATTATATCATTATATGATACGATGATTATCATTAACTGTCATTTTATTGCATTTACGCTTTATATAGCGCGTATGCAATATTATAAATTATATGTGTTTTACAGTTTTGTTAATAATTCTTATTTACACTGAAAGAAAAGATTGGCTGAATATGGCATAGCATTTTTAATTGATTAAAGCAGCCAGTTAAAAATGCTGTACCACCTAATTTGTTGCAGTACCCAATATTTCCTTTCAATGTACGAATATGTTTCTGAATAGATTTCTGTATGAATGAATTACTATAATGAAAAATAATAATAATAGAGTATACGGGTAATGAGAGCGTTAATTAATACAGCGCGGGAATTGGTGCGCAATTAAAAGAAGTTTGTTGTATCGACAGTCATTGTAGCTTATTAATATATTATGTGAATATTATTTGTCTATTATATGAATTGCGCACCAATTCCCGCTCTGTATTAATGCTCTCATTGTCCGTATACTCTATTATTATTATTTTTAATTTCGATAGCCTTATTAATATTTAAATTTTGTTCTAAATTCTAAAAATTGCTTAAAAATTACTTATTTTTACAATTAACCTTATTTTAACATTTAATTTTTTAACATAGTTTTGTAGATGAATTAGTATAATAAATTTTATGCTTTAAGAACTATTTATTTTCATGATTAATTTTATTTTAATGTTTAATTTTATTTATTAATTTGTTCATACTGAAGTATTATTTCAATATAGCTTGCTATTGCAAATTTACGCGTGAAATAAGGTCAGTGGTAGTGATTTCATTGTGGCTGTATGACGGAGTAAGTACGCTTATCAAAGCGAGGACGCCGCGCCAGAGTCACGACGTTATTCCGCGATTTTCTTAACAATTGCATGATTTACTGAGGTACGTTGAACTTCAACAATGCTTTTGCTAAAGCGATCGTCAGAAACGGTTGAACGAGCGCGCTTCTCCTCTTCTGCTTATCCTCGGAAAAATAAGCGGCTATATATTACGACGCTATGCGCATGACCCGCTGCGATAAAAGAGCATCGATTGACAGTTTGCGTAGAATATCAAATCCGTCTGTGAATATCGACGCCGCTTATTAACGTCCAGTCTCGCACTCATAACTCCCTTTCTCTCCATTTTGTTGCATTCTCGTTGGACACGATGGGTGAGATCAGTTTTATTTTTTATTGAAGAAAACTTCATCTTTTAGAGAAAATAGAGAAACCATTATGTTGCTCGTAGCTATGATAATTTTAAGCGATAGTAACACAAGCAATCAAATTGTTTCTGTACACGGAAAGAAAGGTTTTGCTGAAATATTTAAAACTTTATTACTAGATACAAATAAGAAAATAATTTTGCTAGATTATTATTATGTAATAGGATGTTCACACTAATTGCTAAAATGTCAAAACATTTTATTCACACATTATGCTTGAGATTCCTATAAAATTATTTTGATAGTTCAACAAAATTATTTTCAGATTTGTATCTAGTTGAATTTTCAGAAATTTTAGCAAAATCGTTCTTTCCGTCTTTAATATTAAAATGTATATTTGATTCTTTCAAAATTAATAGTGCTTTATAAATATTTACTATACACAAATATTCGTAAATAATTTATTGATAGTGCACAATTTATTCAAAGTGCAATTTTTTATAATTGAATTAAAATTGTGGATTTTTTATTTGGCCAGTATATCGATAGCACTCTGAAATTTATTAATCGATATACCACACTGTTTAAAAATATATGGAGAAACGTTATTCATTTGCTGAAATTGCTAATGGCAGAAATATGGAGTTATACATGAGTTACATTGTCACGTTTGGAATGATAATTGAGTCTGTTGATTTGACCGATACAAGCGATCGATGAATTTATTAGCGTTTGCCGCAACTACACTATGTATATTTGTTGAACTAATAAAACGTTAATCTCGACGCAGTGACGCGTGCAAATAGAAAGATCGTTTTAGATCAACAAGTATTTTCTCGTGCATAAACAGCACCGGCAGATTTCACTCGTTTGCACCCAATGTATCATAAACAGTTTATGTCAACGGTGAATGTGTTACCGCGATAATATTGAAGTTCTCTCGTTATGTCCGTGCGCATCACACGTGTTACTGAATAAATAAACGCTTTTTATATCCACGTGAAAATATTACGAAACGTTAATCGCAGTAATGTCGCGTAACGCCTCTGTAATTAGTCAAGTGCAAATTACGGCTGGCGCGTTCATGGTAAGTTAGCAGCGCTGCA